TATAATAAGATCAAGATTGAAGGTCTGTAAAGAAGTCCAAACAGAGTCTCAGTCGCTTCCATTGAATCGATGGACGTCTACTACTTTGCGGAAATGATCCTTGAAGGCACAAGCTTTTTTGAAATTTTTTTTATTACTGTTTTTGGGAAAATTGAGTTACGTATTTTTGTACATGTCAAGAAAATGGTAATGCTTATAAACTTAGTTGCTAGGAGAAAGAAGATGATTGGCTTCTTGCAAATGGAATATCTTATCCCCTTCCCATTTCCTTTAATATATATATTTTTTATGTCTCTCTCTATTACCTTTTTGATGTCTAGAAGGATATTTCTCAAAACGAGTTTGAGATTATTTTGTGTAGAAGTTGACTATTATGTACCAATGCTAAATAATTGTTCATGAACTTAAAAAAGATAAAGAAAGAAAAATAAGTTGAGCACTAAATACAGTAGATACTAATCTATCTTGAATTGAAAGAGAAAAAAAAATGAATGAAAGAAAACGTTGGCATTGCGGTTTTGGTCACGAGGAGACAAATGCGGCATGCTAAACCAGAGGAGCCAATCCAACTTTTGTGTTTGGGTGCACATCAAAATTATTTAAGGGATCCTTGTCGTATATACAAATATATATATATACATAATTTTTGCCGAGGCTAACGGGTTCCGATGACCCCTTTTACTGTCCATGTAGGTCCGCCTCTGACTGTAGGCCCTACGATACTGTAGACTCAGACTCATACACTACGATGTCCTTTTAAAGAAGAATTAAGTTCTATTGACAGCACTTCAAATCCGTTACAATCTCCAAGGATTAAGAATTGTGGTAAGATGAATATTATTACCTATTGTTTACTTTACTTCGATTATCCTATTTTGTTTGTTGATGTTACTGCTTCTATTCCATTATGTGTCATAATTATTGAGATTAAGCTTTCTTTAAGCCGAAGATATTTCAGAAACAATATTTCTATCTTCACAAGGTACAGGTAAAGTCTCGATACATACTATTTTTTTTAGATTCCACTTGTGAGATTATACTGGATATGATATTATTATTTCTTTATTTTTTTGTGGGTGGGCCAGAATGGTAGGTGTATAGTCTAGTTATTCATTTTCAGATGGGAAAGAAAAGGGAGATAAGGACAACTTTATTTCTTTGGCTTGTGGATAGATATAGATGCTTAAGGGAAGAAAGGAGAAAAAGAAGAGAGAAGAGAAAAGAGACTCAAACTAATAAAACTTTTGTTTTTTGGATACAATACAAGAAAATATTCTTAATTAACGAATCTACACCAAAAATAAACAATTAACATAAAATAGCATGTCTTTCCTATCTCCTCTTGACCTATCTTTTTCATGTGCATGCATAGTCTCCACTCTCCACTTTTTCCTTTCTTTTAATCCAAAAACCCTTTTTTGGTCGATGAGTTGACTCAAATTAATAAAACCTTTTTTTTTATACAAAACCAAAAAAGATTCTTAACGAATCTACGATAAAAATAAATAAAATAACATGTCTTTTCTATAAAACAAGCTCTGTTTTTCTATATAACAACACTTCACTATAAAAGTCAAGCTTTTTCGAAACCAATTTTCATATTATGTTATAATATATGTTCTTTATAACAACACTTCGTTATAACATCTAAAAATATTCGAAATAAAAGAGATTGTTATAGAGATATTTGACCGTAGTTCTCTCTGTTTGGACAAATACAGGATTTCTCATGATAGTAAAGAGAAAAGCATTGTTATTTTTGTTATAGTCCTAACAAGCAAAAACTATAAAACATGTTTATACATTTTTGGGAGCAAATAGTCCTAAACAACTTAGCAACTACAGAAACTTATGAATTATAGCCCCAAAAATATACAAAAAAATTAGAACTTCATGCCAAAAGAAATTGTTCTTCATACCAAAAGGGCATCTATGAAAAATAATAATTCCCAAAGGGCATTCAGGTTTAGCCATTATTATGATATAAAATGTAAGTCAACAAAGATGGAAGTCTCTTTTTCAGTACTATATTTGATTTGACAAACACTTACCCTTAAATCAATTCATTTGACAAGCAATAAGGCTTTGACATGTCTATTTGGGAACCACTTGCTTTTCATAATATGTACATCTTCCATTAGCCAAAAACCATAAGGCTTAAAAAACTTCTCCTAGAAAAGAATGAAAAAAATTTATATTTGAAAATAATTTAACTTTAAATTTATCATTTTACTTTTTTTCTTTTGATAATCATGGTATCCAAACCAGCTTACGCGTCTCTCGACTAATTCCAACTGATACCTACTACTTTTCACCAACAACAGGTACCAGGTAACTTCATCAACTAGGGCTTGGACAAAGTTATGATCACAACACCAAAAATCCTCATTTCTTTTTTAAACTTCGAGCCGAGTCAAACTATGTTACATACATGTTGAAATGGAGGAAGTATATATTCAACCTCTTTAATATTCTTCCTGAATCATTATTTCTCTTGATTTTAATGCCATTTGAGATGCATGATTCCACCCCACACACACAAAAAAAGGCAAAACAAAGAGAAGATGTGTTAAAATAGGTCTGACTTAAATTGTCCTTTGATTCTCTCAGCAAGAATGAGGGACCTACAACTTATTACAAGTGGCCAACCATTACACCATTGACAGTCAACTCAAGTGTCAATTTAGCTTCTTTAGTTTAAAAATGAATAGTCTATGGCTTTTCGATGGCTGTTTGGGCTCCAACACTTCACCAGAAGTAAACATCCTTTTCAAACAGCTTCGAGGAAAATTTTATTGTGTTCATACAACTAGTATGAGACATCTTTTTTGTCTCATCGTTTTGTGGACCCAGATTTTTGTGGATCCAGAAGTGTAATATTAGGGTCCACAAATTTGTGAGACAAAAAAGAATCTCATACAACTAGTGTCAGTTGTATGAGACACAAAATAAAACTTTTCCCGCTTGGAGTGTTCACAAAATCATCAGACCATAAAAGATACCCTCGGAAAAAGCGCATATAGTATATAGAGGCTTCAAAATGCTTGAATTTTAACCTATAAAAGAACACTAGGATGAAAAGAGTATACAAGTAAGGACAATAGGAATTACAATCACATGGTGAGTAAAACGCAATACAATGACAATTTCGTCTAACTTAGAACTCACAATGTTTAAATCCTGAATCTGACACGGTTGTCTGGTCTTATGAATAAGAAGGAAATGAAAAAAAATAGAGATGGTGCATTCTTAACTCAAAATGTAGTTACTTAACAAGTGACCCCTAAGTATTCTAAAAGGCAATACCAAAGCAAAATGCTGCCATGTCCACTGAATAAAACATCCATGTTATGGTACAGCTGAAAGTGACATGAACATCAATACTCAAAAGAGAATTGGCCCCCCTAAGTACTTCATCTGTGTAAATTGCATGTGAACTGCAGTTGGGCAAATCCAGTTAGGAGTAGCCCCTCCACATCCATCACAATAAAGCAGCATACATGAACCTTATTCCTGAAAATGTGACAGCTAAGTTGGGTTCCTAAGACATGGGGACAAGAGTTTGTTCTACTCTCCTTTAACCACCTATAATTCCCCCCCCCCCCCCCCCCCCCCCCC